AACGCGGCTGCATACACAAGGCAGGATTCGAACCCCTGACCTTGCTTAAGACTTATTATTATTATTATTATTTGTGCATTTTTCTTATATTTTTATTTTTATTTTATGCTCATATGCATTCATTAGTTTTTGTTCTCTTTGTCTTATTTTATGTTTTACTTTTTGTACTCTCTATTTATTATATATATATATATATATTTATATATATTTATAATTTATAAGGGTAATTATATTATTAAATAACCTTTGTAAAATTGTGTTATTTTAGTGGTTATTTGTTGTTGTCCTAATCGCTTTCTCTCTCCTAATCGTATCTGATCGTATGGTGGGTATTGATGAGGTAAAGTTAGTAAGGTATTATTTCCTTACTTAAAAGGAAGGGACTTAGTATGTTTCCTTCTTTCAACTTGCCTAACAAAGACGATTTACCTTTTATAGACTTTGTTTTAAATTATTGTCTTATCATAGATTCCTTGCATTAAATTTAATGATTTTTTAAATCTATAAAGAGTGTCATTGACTTTATCAATAATGCATAAGAATCTTTTTTTTTTTTTTACTGAATTTAAATGATAATATAGTATGTAAACTGTAATATCCACCTAAAAATAAACTTATTATTATTATATATTTATCATCCATCCAATTTCAGTATATTATTAATATATATTTTTTAATTTACCAAAAATAACAGATGAGAAAAGGTGAAATATAAAAGTAATGTATTAGGAAATTATAAATAACTTTACTATAAATAAAAATATTAATTATTTGTGATAATATATTTGTTATAACATTGAATGACACTTGAAAGAAAAACATTGAATGACAGATAAAAACAATTAAAAAAAGTGTGTATTAAAAATATAATAAATATTAAATTAAAAAATAATAAAACTAGGGTCACCAAACTAATGAATTAGGGAAAATAAAATATATAATTAAAATATATTTTTATTCATAAATATTATAATTAAACTAATAAAGTTTGAATTAGTATCATATGCATGTTATTCTAACTCTCACTATTAGATTAATCAACTAAAACATTTTTTAACCTAACTATTTTACACAAAAACCTAACAAAACAAGGAATTAAATAAGTAATATTCATGTTAATGTGAGTTGACACAAATGATTAAAAATTTGTATTGAACTTTCTCTTTATTTATGGTGTGAGTTCGAATCTCCTTAATATTACTTGTCTTTTTTGATTGAATTGCTTTTAATTTAATTATTGCATATCTGCAATAATCTTCTATAAGAATTAATATTAATGTAAAAATAAGAATAAGTAATATTTTTATGCATAATAATTTTTTATTTTGAATTTATAATCTTAGGTTGACTTAAATTACCTGAATTTTAAAAGATAAATAATATTAAATAGTCTTTAAAAAATAATTAAGGAATGATACTTTTTAATCATACAAAAATAACATTGATTTAGTCTTTTGACAATAAAACAATAATATCCATTTGATTCTTTAATCATAAAAAGTTATATTAATTTAATCACTTAATCTAATATTCTGAAAGTATATCAATTTCAAGTATTATGTGGCTGATGTTAAACCTATCATATTATATGATCGATGGCCTAAATTGATATTAATTTTCTTTTAAGAATTAAAATGATGTCAACTAAACTTTTAAGGATTAAATTAAATATTTATTTAAATTGAAGTTAATCACATATAATTATTCTATTAAACCAAACACTTACCAAATAAAAAATTTTGCATCCAAAGATAAAGTAATTTAGATGAATACACTTGTCACTTGTACATCACTATAGATTTAGAATTTGCAAAAATGATTCTTAACATACAAAGCTTACATTTCCTATTTTTTTTTATAATAAGAAATATCTTCATAGAAAAATGCATCCTCCTCCTAAAACTTGTTCCGAAACTTGATCCGAATGAATAAAAAATTGATTTAAATAATAAAATATTAAATTAAATAATTATTTTATAATAAATTTATTTAAAAATATTAATATTTTATTTATTCGGACGTTGATTCGGCATTTTGTTCGGAATATATAACAATGCTCCTCTTCATAAGAATTAGCTGTTCTCTCTACTCCCCCTCGCCCAATTGAATTTATTTATTATTATTATTATTATTATTATTATTTATAAATGGCAAGGTGAAGAAGGAATATTAATGGTAAGATATTGCACATGTAACACATTAGGTGAAGATTTAGAGTACTATAAAAATTCGTTATATCTTTTAGCTTTTGTAAATGAGTTGAAGGTGAACAAATATTAGATATATATTTTTCCTAGCCTTTTTAAAAATTATGTATGTTATCCTATCAATTTATCATCTTTGGCATTTACACATGAGTGGATTCTCAATCAAAAATAATATGTCATCACTTGTTTGATGTATAAAAGGAATATTTTAGACAAATTGACAATTATTAACACATTATTATTATTTGCCTTGTATATTTTTATTATGATTAGGTGATGGAATGCAAATGGGTCAAATTGGATTGAATTTGGTTGATTTGTT